TTCTAAATAAAGCAGTTATTTTTATTTAGTTAAAAACGGGCCAAAAGAGACCTCCGAATAGGCTACCAGAAAGAAAAAAAAAAACTTAAAGTTTTTGCTCAGAATTCGTTTTTAATCCCTGCATGATTTTAGTCGTGTATGATAAATATCAAATAGCCTACGTTATTGCTTGACTACAAGTTTAAAAACAACGCTACAATTGTTATAATCAATGGGTAGATGGTATTATCGGATATCGCAATATTTTTTAAGGTGGTTATCGATAAGATATTTTTGACATATCGCCCAGCCCTACTTCTACTACTACTACTACTGATAATAAATATTATACATATAAAATATAATTATAACACTGTCTTTCAGATGAGCAGAGCTAAAATGTTGATGACTCATCTTGCACTATACATTACTAGCCTATCAAATAAACCAAACAGCCAATGACTAGAAATAGCCACTTGCACGGTTTATGAATGTGACGTTACTAAAGCCAACATCAATGCAGGAAAGAACACTTGAGATTTTCAAGTAATTTAACAAAGTATGGAATCATTTAAACTGAATATACATATGACATGACTAGAAATGGTGACCTTAACTTGGTGGAAAGCTGGGCTACAAATCCAAGACCTGGCTGATCTCATCTTTACATAGCTAGTGGCTGCACTGCAAGCTGGGTCAGGAACAAGCTGGCGAATGTGACCAGTTTATTCGTCACTACAGAAATCCCAAATACATGGCCCTACCATACGGAGGGAGCACAAAGGCCTGGACTTGTCAAGACTATGTATATGCCGGTATCAAATTTTCATGTTGCGATTAATTGCTAATGCTTTTATTACGATCGCATTACCAAATACCGGCACAAGTCTAGTCAAGACCGAGGGCCAAGAAGAGCCGCTCCGGGTCTATCCAACATTCCACCCACGGATGAAATTCCAGTGAAAATCCAGGCAGAGCTTTGGTGGATTTCAGAGCAAGCTCTCTGGGAGGCACTTAGTCAGGCATTGTGTTTTTAGAGAAGGCGGTTGTAGCTGCTGGGCTTTCATGCATGCAACATAACAGACAGAGATAAGGGACAAATGCTTTTTGCACAAAGCTTGCCAAAGCAATGCCATTAAGAGAGGCAAATAGGTCTCAATGCATTCTGGGTCAAACTCCCAGTGGACCTCAAAATTGTATTAAAAACCAAGGGAAACAATTATTCCGCTGGCAGAACACCTGTAAGGATGGAGAGAGAGTCATAAAATCTATGATACAATGCTAATGCGGTTATTGTTGTTCTTTATAACAATTCCAACCAATCAGCAATCACTAGTTTGACTAGAAAAGCAGTAGCCAAATACATTTGCATATGATTGACTTAAGAGATGCTGATAGCATCTGGTAGACTCAGACAACCAGGGGGCAGTTGAGGCAATACACTCTGGACAGAAGGGTTATCTAATCTAACTCCCAATACAAGCGGTTGCTTGGTGACATGACCCTTATTATTGACTGACTACATCTTAAATTCTGGGCCTCGAAGCCCTGCAGGGCTTCTTTCACTAGCTAAGCATGTTATCTCTTACTGTGTGAGCTTGCTGCAAGACTAGTAAATTTATCATGTACTTTATCAAGTACAGTGAGTGACAATCCTTTGACCTGGAGATATGCGTTATCTCTCATTAAAGATTCAGTACGGGCCGATGACAGAATACAGTTCATCTTAAAAGTGTATGCACCGCCTTTATACTCGATATCTAGCACATGAAAGCATTATATTACTCAATGTGTAAGCAACTGTTTTACTGCTTCATTTTATATTTATTTTAAAAAGCATGCAACACTTTATATCTGTTTCAACATGGTTGAAAGAGATAAAATGCTACTTAACCCTTTAAAGCTTACTGTATCATATATGAATTACTAAAGCCTATCAATTATGAACATGATCAAAACTTTGCTGAAAAACCTGTTGCACACACATCTACATTTTCTGAATTCATTTCTTTTATTATAATTCTAAAAATATCCACCTTTAGGTCATGTTACATATGTATTGTATCACTTAGATTTACTTGACCATCCATATTTTTTAGACAAATCATGTTAAAATGTATTTATGAAACATGATACAACAGGCTTCTTCATTGCATCATCATTGTATTGCACTGCAGTATATGTTTTGCCCCCACAATAAAAACTACTGAGTTCAATCATAAAACTAGTGACAACAACTGATATTTATATGCATTATGTAAGCAGTCTGCTATACTGTCATAAAAATGCATTTATTTACATTACAAGCCACCAAAATTCTATCTTTTTGTCCATATAAATAACATCAGCACCAAACTGCATAATTTTGTTCAGTTTGGATCTCTGAGGTATTTTCCTTCACATGTGTGAGCTCCATATTCTCACTATATGAGCCATGAAAGACTGATGCATCAAATGTCATACAAAACATACACATATACAAGCTTGTTTAAACAAAGGATTTAATAAACATAGTATTTTCTGACTATAATTTCACGTCAGGCTTACAGGGTTAAAAACACCATATGAATCATTCAGCTTGTTAGAGTAGCAGAGAAACACCTAAAATCTCCCCAAAGGACACTGAGTAACAAGTTGCAAGAGGGCTGTCCAAGAGAATCCCCAACAAATTCAAACATCGTGTGTGTGAGGGGGAGAGTGACACACTTTCAGCCTGAAAAGACTGTCAGCATGTGGCCCAAAGGGACAACAAAACATATTTTGTGTTGCCAACACCGCAGTATGACAGCGACAACAGACAATTAGGGAAAATAACGCTGTCTCTTGTCAAGCCCTGACACTTGGGGACTTCTGAGTAAATAAATCAAGGCCCTGAACAAGCACAAGAATAATTGAGCATGGACAGAAATTGGGCCTCGTCTCAAAACCTTGCGAGCAGCCTACCTATAGTAGGGGTGAGCACCAAGAATCGGTTTCATTAATAAAAAATACCGGAACTGGAAGATTTTTAAGAGGTTCGGTTTTGTTAACAATTCACGAATGTGTATACTTTGCTAAAACAGTCTGAATCTTCATCACGAAACATACAGTAATCCGATTACCCATAAAATGAGTCTTACAATCCGGTTCTTTTTAGTGAACCAAAAGCACTAATCAGTCTGAATGGCTGCTGAAATAAACAGACTCACTAATCACTTTCGCAGTAATTCTGTTCTTATGATACCTGAGACTTATGGTTACTAAATAGTTAATATGACAACTAATAGTTATACATACACATTATGAATTTTGTTGCGGTGTTCTTTAAAATAAATTAACAACTGGATGAAATGTGTTATTATCATTCATTAAAAAGTCATTTGATAATAGAGCAGTAAAAGCAACTTGAATTAGGCTACATTTCCTTTCTCCAATTATTTCTTCAAAAGTACTAAATCTATAGAACATTCTAGATTGATAAATCCTTCTAGTAAATCGGAACCAGAACGGTTCCATTTCTACAGCATGAAAAATGTTTGAGCAACATTGGCGCGTTCCGAACATTCGAATAGTTCCGAATGCTCCGAAATTATTCGAACCAACGTTCGGAACGCGCGTCTGATTCTCTAGGTAGGCAGCTCGCTAGGTTTTGACACACAGCCAGAATGTTTTGTTCTTTACCTGTGACAGCTGCCTCGGGTCGGGGGCTCCGAATAAAGAGGAACTGGAGCTGAAACTAATGGCTCCCCTCCGGCTGAGAACATGTTTGGGAACCGGCCTGTCTAGAGGCAAAACCGGTAACTGATAACATAATTCCATTGAATAATATCAACGCTATGGATCCGGATCAAAAATAATTCAAACCCGCCGAAAAAAAGTAGTAAAATAATCAAAGGAATCACAAGAAGGCGGAGAGGAGAACTTGCACGGAACTTGGGCGCTGTTTGCAACTCTCAAAAAGCACGGGAATTCCCTCTCCTTTAAATTGCAAATAAAAAATATCAGTTTAAATGCTCATGAGGCGAAGTGCTTCATTTTGTTCGGATCGATCTGGTTCTCGCGCACACCGCCGTCATTATTGATATGGTCCATATTTCCCCACGCGCGTGTCTCGTGCTCCATTTCACTCGATTTTTATTCATCAGGCTCGTTTTTTCTTCCTTTCTTCTCCCTTTTCCCATGCAAAGACCACGGCCTGTGGGACGATGAGGCCTCTCCTCTATCTTTTTAGTATCTTTAGAAAAAAATGCTTCCTCATTTTTTAAACTCCGTCCAGTCGTGAATCATCATCATCGTGCAAATGGCTCCGCAGTCTCGTCTCCCAAATTAAAACAAAAGGCATGACCACTTCAAACCCTGATGTCGATGCTTGGAGGAGAAAACAGAGAGATCTGGCGAATATATAAATAAATGTACGTGAACTTCTATCCGTTTAGCGACGGGTTTCATTCAAGCTCTGCGATGCATGAACATTTATTCTCCCTCTCTCATTTTTTCTAAATGCAGACACACAGATGGCACCCGTAATTCAGCACACACTCAATGCAGCACTGTATATTAACCAGAAGAAAGTGGCCTTGGTGAAATAAAAACACGCCCCGCGACCACGCCGTGCGTGTGTTGGCACATGCTGTTCGGTCAGTGTTAAAAAGAAAACGCAAAACGGGAAATAAATTACGCTTATTACATACGACAGTCTCAGTTAGTCCTGAACATTGCAAGCTGTTTCCGAACATGCACCACCTGCGAAAGAGATGGGGTTGTACAGAAAGCGTTCGCAAAACGTCCTCGTCTCTCTGAGCCAATAGGCGCGCAGCAGTTCATGTAACGCCCGTTCCCACTGGATTACACCGTGCAGCGATTTTGAACCGGCTAATCTCATTGGCGCTGCTTTCAAGACTGATTTATGCACTCGTTCACTGACTGTACGGACCTCAATAAGGGTATTCCACTACAACGGGGTTTGCCCTGCAGCCGGTCTACATCATTGCCAGTGATTACCTTTTCTCGGTATGAGTCATCCAGTTATTCGTGAGCAATGAACCACTGTTAACTTCTCTCAATAATAAAACCCACTAGTAAACGTGTTTTTTGTTTGTTTTTTTGTTTTTTTTAAAAGACCATTTCACTCTTCGTACGCTGGTTTAAGCTGATTTTTTTAGCAGGGTAAAGAAACCTGGCAATCAAATGTATACATAATCCAGTGAAATGTAATGTTCATGTTATCGTACCTGTAGGCCTATGACTGATCCATGTAATATAAGCAGGCGCTTTTATACAAAGAGACTTACAAAGAGGAACAGAAGCAATTTGTCAAAAAGCCAACAATGTTCGTAATATAAAATGCCAGGTTTAAGAGGATAAATGCTCAAAAGAAAAGTTTTTTTTCTTTTGTGAGTGTGATTACACTTAGTATATTACACAGTATGTATATTACACATGAGCTAATTTCTTTCTTCCAGTTTTGCCTTTAAAGTGTTTGTTTGCTTAAGACATAAGCGCGTACCACAGAGAACTTTGTAAGTTTAAACAATAAGCATGTTGTCAGGCATTACCAGATAATTGCATGACAACACATAGTCACTAGCAGTCTCTAAGTATCACATTGTGTGCTGAGGTACAATTTGCTGGAAACGCAAGTCATAATCATGAACTAAGGCTTATGGTCTGCTACAGTTTCAACAAAAATATTAATGTGAAAAAATATAGCCTACACTTAGGTTTACTAACTGAAATTCATCCTCAAGGTAATTGTGTGAGCCAAATAGTATACAGTGTATACTATACACTGTTAAAAATAAAAGTTCTTTATTAGTTCTCTATGGCTCCATAAATAAACTTTAACATCAAGAACCATTTTTGAGTTCACCAAATAACCTTTCAATGAACAGTTCTTAAAATAACCATTTTTATAGTTTGAAGAGCATTTGAATAATTTAAAGGACTTTTTTTCCACTATAAAGAACCTTTTGTACAATGGAAATGTTACATGGATGTTAAAGATTCTTCATGGATCCATCAATCCCAATAAAGAACCTTTATTTTTTAAGAGTGTAGAATCTTTTTATTGCACAAAAGGTTCTTTATAGTGGAAAATGTTCTTCAGATTATTATATAAATGTTCTTCACATTAAGAAAAAAAAAAGTTATTTTAAGAACTGTTCACTGAAATGTTCTTTGAGGAACCAGAATGGTTCATCTATGGCATTGCTGCAAAACCCCCCTTTTGGAACCTTTATTTTTAAAAGCGTAGAGCCATTTTCTAACCATTATCCTTTCTTTTGCAATCACATAAGCAGACATTTAAGCAAAATAATCAAGCTCGACCCACTCTGTGCAAGTTCAACCCACTCTCTGGGTCATTTAAATTCTTCAATTTAAGTCGTAAAGCTTTGCAATGTTGTCAAATGTTTTAACTTGGGTTGCTGGAGACCAGGGGACAATAGTGAACTGTGCCATGGCAACAAAGGCCATATGCCAGTAGTGAGTATAATTGCTCCGTCCCACCCCCTCCCCACTGCTCACAATACAATTCTGCACAACCAAACCCCAGACCATGCAGTCCTAATCCGTTTCTAGGCATCCTGAATATACACTGCCAAATCACACAGATTACTAGAGTGCTTTACCCCAGTGCACACCAGAACCTCTTGGAAATATTATACAAAACCTTTGAGATTATTTTTTGCATGCATTGTTGATCTATGGTGATATATTACTGGTGTTAGTGTGACTTAAACACTGGGACTAAACAGAGAAAGCAAACACAACACACTTAACAAGATAAGATGTCTGGCATCATGCCTATATCTGCCGGTGTAGTTATTAACGGATCTGTTCATTAATTTACTTTTACAATACCGTTTAATCAGTGTCAAGGACCGCTTCCCGTCCACTACCGTTGGCCCCGCGTGCTGCTCATTTGGGAGTCTCACATTTCCTGACTGAGGGGCAATCATTTCATTAATGGTTTGTTTCTGAGGCTTAGTTTGCTACAAATGCTGTTCCCCAGGCAGACATGCTTTGCAGGAACAGCCTCCTGAGGAGACAATGATGAGGGGTGGCGAGCAGCACACCTGCTAATTCCCCTCGAGACTCCATGTATCCACTTGCAATGCGACCCTGTGCTATGCAGCAGTCATCAGGTGACCATAAACAAGGGGAGCGCCGGCATAATTGATACCGCTGCTTGATGTCACCCGGCCCACTGGTGACGTCCCCGTTGTTTTGACTGCTGCATGTGGTTTTGAAAAAAAAGAAGAAGAAAAAGATATGTGAATGTGACAGTTCTGTCTTTTTTCCATACAATTTCTATGTATAATTTAAATAGATGTAGAAATGTGACTTTTTTGCACTTGACTGACATTTTAAAAATGGTGAGTGAAAAGAGTGTTGTAGATTAAAACACTATCTATACAACAAGTATGCAAGTTTTTCCCATTAACTGCTTGTAGAATAAAACTTGTGCTCAGTTGCCATCTTGTGGTGATACAAGGTAAGTGCTAGTTGTTGTTTTTTTTACCCTGCTTTTAGAACAAGGGGTTTTAAACTGGGGTCTGGGGAAAAGTTTACAAAAAAAAAAAAAAGAAGAAGAATATTTATAAAAATAAAAATAATAACATTTGACTTAAATTAATAAATACTACATCTAAAGGTACTATTGTGAGTAGAAAATATTTTCTTTCAAATAAATTTATTTCACACAAATTCATAATATTCAGTTTTTACAGTATAAATTGGGTGTTTAAACAAGAAAATATATAGCTGCCTTATAAATTGTAGGATGGGGGTCACTTGCACAAGCATGATATTATTTGGGGGTCTAACAAATAGATTGAAAACCTATGATTTAAAACATACTATATTTGTGAGAAAACAAACAAACAAAAATGTGTGGATAACGTTATATATAAATTATGTTTGACGGCATCTCTGGTCTGGTCACTTTTTCATCATACAATTTACATTACTATTGTACTCCTTTAGTGTTACAAAATAATTCATGTTAAAAACATAACTTTAGTACAAATTTTGTACTAGTATTCTAGCTTTATGCATTGTCTTGTATTTATTTAAAATGTAATAAAGCATAAACATTCATTTTAGTTTAGTTCACAAACACTTCAGTTTGTTCACAAATATCTTGAAAAATAAATCGGTTTTTAGTATACTTCGATATACAGTAGCAAAATATGAATAACATTGTTCATATTAGCATACTGAAATATATTGCTGACAACATGCGCACATTCTCTGACGTGAGTTAATGTGGAGGTCACGCTGTTCATTTTGGACATTCATTTTTATTATTTTAGACCCGACTAATTCTAAGACTTTTTTATTTATGTTAATTTTTTTTATTTGTTTGTTGTTGTTTTTTGCACAAGCAGTGTAGTTTTGTTGAATATGCATTTAGACGTCACTACGTTTGTCACGCAATGGTATTGAAAACAGCAATTGCAGAAGGACACCACAAGATGGCGATCTTGCATCAGCAAGAAAATGCATCAAATCGAGGGCATTCATGCACGCACACAATGTAAGACTCTAGCTAAAAAGTTGTATAGACATAAAACCTAACCTTTTATCCTCTCCAGTCCTCATCGTGCAGGTTTTAGCAGATAACATCCTTCATCCATCAAACATCTTCCATCAAAAGCTTCCACTCTCTGCTCAAGCACCAGGCACTGAAACCTAATGAACCTTGTTGGTAACCATGTTAAACTGGCCTGAAGTTACCTGAGCTCATGACTAGTTCCATGTATAATTCATCTCCTCAGTAATCTACTCACCTTCAGAGAAGGAATCTGACTCCATTAGCCTGTCTACCTGCCCTGGAGAAGGACTTAAGTTTGGAGTCTGTTAACAGGTAAGAAAATAATGATCTTCTGTGGGATTTGGAGCAGTATTGCACTAGTAATAGCAGTTTTTGGCTTCTTACTTCTGCAGTCAGCCATTGTAAAGCTCAACAGAGATATAATTAGATATGTATAATTAGAACTAGTTAATATTCTATGAAGGCTCATTGCAAAAGATGGAATTATTCAGGGGTTGGAGGTTATCAGAGAATCCATGTCAAACTCTTGTTTGTATATATATTCTCTGCAATATACTTCCAATGGATGTCCTTTCTTATAAACAGAGAGATTGCTTGTGAACACATGTAAATAAACAGTCAACCAGGTCTGGGTTGATGTGGAAAGAGTGACGTCGTAAGTCTCAAGCCAAACGTCATTTCCCTGCAAACACAGAACGTTCCCCATTTGTTTGCCTTTTGGGAACAAAAAAAGAATGTTCTGGGAATGTTTTGTCAAAAAATCAAAATCAAAAGCTAACCTCCCCAGAACATTGGGACATTTTGGGACATTGGAACATTTTTTTACACTGTTTGTGACAACCTCAAGGGAACCTATACACAGAACATTCACTAATGGTTATTTTTAGGATTTAGATTTATAAACAAAAGCTAACCTTCCCAGAATGTTGCAGGGATGTTTTCATGACAACCTAAAGTGAACCAACTCAGAATGTTCCCTAATGGTTATTTTTAGGTCTTATTTTTATAACCAAGAGCTAACCTTCCCCGAATGTTGCAGGGAGTTTTTTGTTTTTGTGACAACCTAGATTACAATCTAGACAACCTAAATTTTTAAACCATTATACCATTCCATAAACATTCTGGGAACCAAAAACTGCTAGCTATAGGTTGTATCTTGTTCACCACCCAGGACAACTGTACCTGACCTACTGTCTTCTCCAATTTATTAACGGTTTCTTTGTTCTTTTGATGTTAAGGTAATGGTTTAAGATCATGGCTGAACAAAGGCAACGGGCCCTGTCCACATCAGGAGAGGCTCTGTACCAGGTTCTTGGCCTTGACAAGAACTGCACTCATGATGACATCAAGAGGTCCTACAGGTAAGATGTGATTCACAACCTATTTGTCCCAAGGTGCATTTACTGTATGAAGTTTGGATTCTACTTGGGGTGAACAAGGGAGCAAAGGATAGAGAAAGTGCCAAACTGCGACTCATTCCTCTATAATCTCAGCCTTCAGTTGCAGTGGAGCTGCATGAATATAACATGACTTCCACAAAACTAAAATATTCATTATGCTGAACAGATGGCATCCCTTATTTTACTGGGATCAGGAATGATGAAGGAATCTTAGATACAAGAGCATGTTCAGGGGTGCACGACGTGTGCATGAATGATTCTGTACTATAATTTACATAGCTCCATGGAAACGTGCCAACCTTGCCTTTGGTGGTAATATCTTGACGCTTACACCATAACGTGTTGATTTCACTTGTCAGTTGGTTTAACAAAACGTTATGCTGCAGCAGAGCAGGGCAACCTGGGAAAACCTGGAGAAAAAATTCATAGCTTCATTCTTTGTCATACATATAGGAGAATGTATATGTAAGTAAATAGTTTTTCTTTTCTGTGGCTGCTTTATATATATATATATATATATATATACAGTGGGTACGGAAAGTATTCAGACCCCCTTACATTTTTCACTCTTTGTTATATTGCAGCCATTTGCTAAAATCATTTAAGTTAATTTTTTTTCCTCATTAATGTACACACAGCACCCGTTTTTCAAGGCTGCAATTTATGCACAACCTGTGCTGTTTCTGTCTTGTATGCTAAAACACGAAGATGTCAGAGAGCTTCATTAGACAACTTCATTTCTAACACCATACTGATGTTCCAACAATTATAGTGTCTAATTGTTCTAATTTACACGTTGTTCAAGGAGGCATTTAAATGGTTAGCATTTTAACAGCACTTGTTTGCTGTTAATGAATATATAATCATCACAACTCTTGCAGACGCCATAGGCTTAATCAAAAATTAACAAGCAAGCGTACTCGGAGCATAATAAATTATAGATTAAATAGTTTGTTTTTGGTTCAGCAAAAAAAAAAAAAAAAAATAGAGATTATTTTCATGTAATGATTTTAAAATTAAAATTATTGGCTTTTTTTTTTTGTATTAATAGATTTATACTACTCCACGCCTTTTACAAATACCATAAATATTTATAGTTTGCTATCTGATCATCCACAACCATTTTGAGCTTAAGGATATTACATTTCACAGCATTATAACATGTCAAACTCTTCCTTATTGCTGCAGAGACTTTTGAAGAGTGTTTGCGCAGAGTTTGGACATGCTGCCATTCATTCAGAGCAGACCTGAACTGAGTCAGAGACAGAGACATGTGCAATGCACTGCTGGTTCTAATGGGAAAAATGTCAGACTTGGTGACGTTCCTCTCTTCACCACCCCTCATGTGCCGAGGAGCTTTTGGAGGCACTAATGGGGTCTGCGGTCTTGCTGACACATAGACAGGTCAAGCAGCGTGCGCATAAGACAGCTAGCCGCAAAAGATCACACCCTGCTGAGATCATCAAACAGACAGACAGCATTTTAAACTGCCACATGTTAATGAGTCTCCTCTTACTGTGTGCGAGTCCAGAAGTATTTGTGTTTCCTTTTTTAAGCTAATGATTGTTTTATGTCACTCTCATTAGGGGAATACAAAGAAAAAAGACAAAGTGCACATTCTCGCAGAGATTCTGTATTTCTAAGGTCATTTAAATATACTTCCTGACATTTACATTGATCTTAGTGTCTTTCAACAACTTCTTTACATTTTCATTCCTAAGACTTCTATATGATCCTCAGGTTGGTGCAGCTCTTAGCAGTCAGTTTTTCGAATACATTTTTCATTTTTAAATGTCCTCGCCTGTTTTTTTTTTGTTTGTTATTTTAGGAAGCTCGCTTTGAAATATCACCCTGACAAGAACCCAGAGAACCCCGATGCCACTGACAAATTTAAAGAGCTCAACAATGCTCATGCGGTGCTGTCTGACGTCACTAAGAGGAACATTTATGACAAGTATGGCTCCCTGGGTCTGTATGTGTCGCAGCAGTTTGGGGAGGAGAATGTGAACACATACTTTATGCTCTCCAGCTGGTGGGCAAAGGTGCGGTATCATCCTTTTTTTTTGTTTATATTAAAAATTAGCACTTTAGGGAACAATTTTTGCCTGACCTGACCCTTGAAATCTACTCCTGTTGATGTAATCTACACATTAAAGGGTTAGTTCAGCCAAAAATGAAAATTCTGTCATTAATTACTCGCCCTCATGTCGTTCCAAACCCGTAAGATCTCTGTTCATCTTCGGAACACAAATTAAGATATTTTTGATGAATTCTGAGAGCTCTCTGACCCTCCATAGACAGCAATGTAATTACCACGATCAAGGTCCAGCAACATGGCAAGGAGATCGGTAAAATAATCCATGTGACATCAGGGGTTCAACCGTAATTTTACGAAGCTATGAGAATACTTTTTGTAAGCAAAGAAAACAAAAATAACGACTTTATCCAACAATTCGTCTCCTCCGCGTCACACTATAGCGCCATTTTGGAGAGTATCAACTGAACGGAAACAGCGTATGCTGTTCTGTGTCAGCAGCACCGTACGCGGATACGTTGTTTTCGTTCAAATCAAAGCGTAAACAATGTAGAAAACGTATCCGCGTGACACAGCTGACACAGTATAGCATACGCTGTTTACGTTCAGTGGATATTCTCCACAATGGCTGGAGACGTATTGTTGAATAAAGTCGTTATTTTTGTTTTCTTTGCGTACAAAAAGTATTCTCGTAGCTTCGTAAAATTATGGTTGAACCACTGATGTCACATGGATTATTTTACCGATTTCCTTGCTATGTTTCTGGACCTTGATCGTGGTAATATCATTGCTGTCTATGGGAGGGTCAGAGAGCTGTCAGAATTCATTAAAAATATCTTAATTTGTGTTCTGAAGTTGAACAGAGATCTTACGGGTTTGAAACGACATGAGGGTGAGTAATTAATGACAGAATTTTCATTTTTGGGTGAACTAACCCTTTAAATAATATTAATTACATTATATATTAGTCTACAATTTAAAAAATAATTTTATTGGTCATATTAAATAATATTTTTGCAGCTAATTATGTATGTTTTTTGTATGTATTTGAAACTGTTTAAATACTGTATTTTAATATTATTTTATAACAAAAATGTGTTTACATTAGCTACATGGACTAACAAAAATACTTCTAAAGCCTTTATTAATCTTTTTTAAAAACAATTCAACATTTACTTATACATTTATTAATTTAAAAAGTTGTATCTGTTCATAATTTTTAATCGACCTTAGCTAACTAACAGTGAACAATTACAATGTCATGTTAACAAAGAATATTAAACACTATAACAAATGTATTACTCATTATCAGGACTAATGGAACCCAATTGTAGTGTTATCCGTAAAGGTGTATAAAAAGACAGAATGAGACCGAATATTGTAATATTAACTCTGAAAGATAAATCATAGAATATTATTGCAAAATGAACAAGTCAATAAAGTGTTATCCTAATTTATATAAATGCATCTACTCACTAAATAGTTATATTTTATATTTACATTATAGTATTTGTGTTAGCAATTTCTATTGCTAATACTGTTTTTGCTATTATAATAAAATGCATGTTATATTATTAAATATATATATTATATAAATATATAAGTAAATTATTTAATTTTCGAAAGTAATATTATATAACAGATGCTGTAATGTCGATATTTTGAATGCATTTTTATCTAAACTAAACCCTGACACTGTGTGCCTGTCTGATTTTGAACATTCTCATTTATAGGGTCTGTTTGCCATCTGTGGCTTGCTGACAGGTTGCTATTTCTGTTGTTGTCTGTGCTGCTGTTTCAACTGCTGTTGTGGGAAGTGCAAACCGCACACACCTGGAGAAGAGGACCCGGAGTTCTATGTGTCTCCCGAAGACCTGGAGGAGCAGATCCGTACGGACAACGAGAGAGGTAAAAGGACATGCTGACGTGTTCTTTAGGTGGTCACACTCCGTTTTGAAATAGCATAAGAGCACAGAACACACCTCAGTCACTCTACAGCCAGAAAAAAAATGGATGAAAATGGTTAAAAGAAGCACATCCCAAAATGACTGCATCACATTTTGTTCTCGATAACAGCATCTTCTAAATGTCTTAAATGTTAATCTTCAAAATAGATTGTTCTATAGAAAGCGGAAAGACTTTATAACTGTCTGATTTTGAACATTCTCATTTATAGGGTCTGTTTGCCATCTGTGGCTTGCTGACAGGTTGCTATTTCTGTTGTTGTCTGTGCTGCTGTTTCAACTGCTGTTGTGGGAAGTGCAAACCGCACACACCTGGAGAAGAGGACCCGGAGTTCTATGTGTCTCCCGAAGACCTGGAGGAGCAGATCCGTACGGACAACGAGAGAGGTAAAAGGACATGCTGACGTGTTCTTTAGGTGGTCACACTCCGTTTTGAAATAGCATAAGAGCACAGAACACACCTCAGTCACTCTACAGCCAGAAAAAAAATGGATGAAAATGGTTAAAAGAAGCACATCCCAAAATGACTGCATCACATTTTGTTCTCGATAACAGCATCTTCTAAATGTCTTAAATGTTAATCTTCAAAATAGATTGTTCTATAGAAAGCGGAAAGACTTTATAAAGACTGAAATATTATATATTGTGCAACGGGATCATTCTAAAATGAATTTCGAAATAGCTTTATATGATACTTTTCTAATTAAAAACATGTATTAAATACTTAAAAAGAACAGCAAGCTTTGATGTAGCAGATCACGGCTTATAAGTTGAGGGAAGCGCTTTTAAGAAGGTTCAACTAACGTAATAACTCATCCTACTTACAAAAATAAATAGCTGATACTTCTGAGCCAGATGTTTGGATATAATACGCTGTTGTTCTGCCAGTGAGCTGTAGGAGGTTTTTTACATCTTGTGCTGCAGTCTCTCACAAAAGTGATAATTACAGTCTGAGTCATTTCTCAAAGTGTGTTTGCATACTAGTTTTTTATAGCATTCTCACAATAAAAATAAACAATGTTTTCTTTCCCTGCATTTGAAAGGCAGCACGCAAGATGGTACAGACAAAAAAAAAAAAGCCTTGTTTTGTCTTATATTAGATTCAAGCTACGTCTATGTAAAAATACACTGTGGACAAATCAAAGTTGACTTGTGCTTCCATTTTAGTTGACTTGTATTAACCTAGACAAGCTGAGAACACACAGCACACAAGATAATTTTATTATTCATATTAAATAATATTTGAGCTAATTTAGGTTATACTTTTTTAACAGTGTATTTTATTGTCTTTCAAAGCATTTATATTAGTCTAGCACCACATTACACATTAAATAATATTAATTATATATTACTCTACCGTGTAAAATAATTGTATTAGTCATATTCAATAATACTTTCGCAACTAATTAAGATTTTTTATTTTTTGGTTACCTGAATATATGTTTTTACTGTGTATTTTGTTGTCTGTTTGATAACATTTATATTAGTGTAACTATAAAAAAACAATAAAATTAATGTTTCATAGACTCCTGTTGAAGTCATATCTTGCTGAAGTAGTGTCTAAAATTTTTGAAAATTACTCTTTTAGTGTTACCTACACGTTAAAGGGATAGTTCACCCAAAAATGAAAATTCTGTCATTAATTACTCACACCTCATGTTGTTCCAAATCCGTAAGACCGTTCATCTTCGGAACACAAATTAAGATATTTTTGATGAAATCCGAGAGCTTTCTGACTCTGCATAGACAGCAATGCAACTGGAATGTTCAAGGCACAGAAACATAAAATAGTCCATGTGACATCAGTGGTTCAACCGTAACTTTACGAAGCTGCGAGAATACTTTTTGTGTGCAAAGAAAACAAAAATGATGAACATTCCAGTTGCATTGCTGTCTATGGAGGGTCAGAAAGCTCTCGGATTTAATCAAAAATATCTTAATTTGTGTTTTGAAGATGAACAAAGGTCTTACAGGTTTGGAACGACATGAGGGTGAGTAATTAATGACAGAATTTTCATTTTTGGGTGAACTATCCCTTTAAATAATATATATTAGTGTACCATGTAAAAACTATTCTATTGTAATATTTTGGCAGCTGACTTTTTAGGCTACCTGAAAACATATTTTTGTCTGTTTCATAGCATTCATATTAATGTTTCCTACAATAATGTTTCCTAGACTTCATATCCTGCTGAAGTAATCTCTAAAAATCCACCCCTGTGGTCTTCGAATCAGAAAACTCTCAGCATTAGGTAAGCCAGTGGACAGTGGGCTGCCCTTCAAACCAGTGATACTGAGCCAGCTCAATGAGGTCAGAAAAGCGCAGCCAGCAGGGGCAGGCTAACGGCAGATTGCTGGGACGTCCTTGGAGCGTACAAAACACTTTTCATTTCAGCAGGAAGTTCAATTAGGAGTGTGAAATGGCATGGCATTAGACGGTGTAACCTCTTGTATATTCCATATTGAACATATGTGACCTCTTTTACCTGTGATTTTGGTTTTCCAGATGGCGACACTCCGATTGTGATGCAGCCAACCAATGCTAGTGAGAAGACCCAGCTGATCGGTGATGGACACAGAACATATACCTAAATGGAAAAAAATTGACGATAGATATTAATTTTAAAATTCTTTTTGAATACATTTGTGTCTTTTACAATATACTAGTGAGAAGACCCAGCTGATCGGTGATGGACACAGAACGTATACCTAAATGGAAAAAAGTGACGATAGATATTAATTTTAAAATTCTTTTTGAATACATTGGTGTCTTTTACAATATACTGTTTATGTTAGGACTGAGAAAGCTAAAAATACTCAACTTCTTAAGCTTTGTTTAGCCATGCTGTCTGTAAATAACAGATATTATATTATTCTTATGCTTCATGTGGAATTAAAACTGATAATGTGATAAAAACTGATGAATGATTCTCCTTTAAATAATATTATGTACACTCAAAAGATATCAGGCCCTAAATTTAAGATTTTTGTATTTAAATTTTCCATATAAAATTTTCATCCATTTGGACATTTTTAACATAAACTAATAAACGTAATGTGACACATATTTGTCAGTCATTCATCCAGTTATTCATTGTGAAAACAATTCATCCAAGAACATGGTTAAAATATAGCTGTGGAATATTCAATTACCTGCAATGGGAGATGGGAAGAAATTTGATTTATTGATTATAAATATGTACATCGGTCTATTAGTATTTAAAACAGTCTAAAGAGTTAAAAGTCTACTAGTATTAACATTTATTAGTACTGTTACAGAAATTTTACTTGTTCCATTTATGTATGACTGACAAATATGTAACGCAATAGGTTTATTAGTTTGTCTATGTTAAAAGTGTGTCGTGTGAAATGTCATATGCAAATCAAATTCATAAATTCTAAATTTAGGCCAATTTTTGGAGTGCATATTATATGCAGTTGTTTTATGCATTTATATTTTGTTTTATGCAAAATATAAATGCAGATATTTCTGTACATTTAACAGTGCTTTCAAATAACCAGGGGTGATTGTAGGATTTTTTTCAACTGGGGGGCACAAAAGGGGCCACAATTAATACAGAGGGGCCAATCTTATGTTGTGTATTTAACTGTAGATATCGAAATCATTTAAATAACACATTTTATTTGCTCTGGCACAGTACTCTATATGAATATAGATAGGATATTGCTTGTTTCACAAAATCTTAATGCAACATAATGTGCACAGAGCCAGCCATTTGGGTTGTTTTCTGACTTTTTGTTTGCAATTGAAGGAACATTTTATGCTTGAACTCTACTGAATGTTCGTTTAAAACAACGAAAAGAAACAAAAACCAAGTTTCCTTCGAGCCGGATTCGAACCAGCGACCTAAGGATTACAGTGTTTCCTCTACAGTCCTCCGCTCTACCAACTGAGCTATCGAAGGAGCCCATACTCTATAGCTCGATCTTGAGCTTTTTATAAGGTAAAATGCGTGAAAAGTAAGTATAATAAATACACTTATATTGCACATAAAAAATGTAACAAGTAACTTACTCACAATGCAGATTTCTGTAAAATAAGACCAGGAAATACCGTTGGTTTTTGACGTTAATTTGACAACGTGTCATTTCTACACTATAACGTTATATATATAATTTTTCTCCGATTTGATTAGAAAGCAAAAACCCGTAATTTACGCTAGCAATCGACACATTATCGTTTCATAATAACAAAACAGAAAAGCGAAAATAATGTAACCGAATGTTCAACATTAGCCTACAGATAACGTTACGCTAACAAAGTGAAAAATGTTGGATGCATTAATACATGGTAATAATAAAACTAATAAGAGGAAATTTGCGTATGAAAAAAAAAACTTTTAATTGTTAACTTACTTATTGCGTTAAGCTAACTGAGACTTGTCATATCACTTGCATATTGCTCTTTTGTTGATTTTGATTGCTTCCATTGTCCTCATTTGTAAGTCGCTTTGGATAAAAGCGTCTGCTAAATGTTAATATAAAAGAAATACAACTAAAGATGACGCTAGTACCATCATAATTATTTACATCCATGGAGATATTCATGGGGGTTAGCAAGATGGGGAATTAGCTCAGATGCTGGCTGCTAGCAGGAAAGGGCCTAATCTTTATGCCCCAGCACGCAAGCGAAAAAGACGCAGAAAACGGGAATACGCCGACAAATTTCCCCTGCAACACTATTCGAGCTACATTGCTGTGCGTTATGGAGGAATTTTAGTTACATGTGAAACAAGTCACACGCCGCGGGATGGACTCGAACCCGTGGCCTGCGCGACAAAGTATCCAAGGACAGTCGTGCTGCCATCTGTCTGTCGACTACATGTGTATTGTTAAAGGTCCCCTGAAGTGCCTTGAAATCGCTTGAAACACTCAGTGTTGTTCTATGTGGTGAAGTAATTTCACCTGAAACAGGAAGACAGGGCGGGACATATCGAGCAGCCCCGCCCCCTTTTTAAATTAGCCAATAGCGTTTTGGCAAATGACGTCACTGATGACGTGCGAAATGCAGCTGGAGCTCAGAACTGCAAATAATATCTTATTTACATCGTGTCTGTTACGGGGCTGACAAGACGTGAGACATGCGGATCCATGTGCAAGCTTTATTAAAGCAGAGAGGTCAGAAACACAGGCAGGGTCGAACAATGGCAAACGGGTATATGGCGGGCAAGACACAATAATCCTAGGGCTAGCGAAGGTCAACGAACGGCGAACAGAACCCAAAAGGGCAAGACTAAAGGGATAACTCCAGGAAAACAGGCAAAGTTGATTATTACGCCGCGAGATGCTAACGGTCTAATCAGATTCAATGATCTATGTTAAATTTCCAGCTAAAAGTGCTACCGCCAGACCCGAAGATCGGCTGGATGGATTCGAAAACGGTAAAACTCAACTGTTTAACTCTAGGGGAGTTGGAAAATGAGCCTATTTTCAAAAATAGTGGAGTGTTCCTTTAAGTGTGCAATCAACTGCGCCTTTATTTAGTTATCTGTGACATATCATTATATTGAAATGTATTATTTTATGTATATTATTTTTAAAAAGTATATTACATGTTTATGTTTAAAATAAAATTAATAAAAATGTTTCTTCAAAGATGTGTTATTTGTGTGTGATATGATTTGATTGATATGATTTATCAGATTTAATTTATCTGATTAAAAGACACTTCAAATGTAAAATGTTTTATTAAATTGAATACACACAAATATTGACATGAGTACACACACATACACACACATATATATATATATATATACAGGACAATATCAATATGAAAGAGTGGGCCCATGTAATTGTCACACTCGCTGGTGGAAGATCAAGCGCACAATGCAGGAGATGAGTAACACACAGTCTTTAATAATAATCCACAGGAAGCAATAGGGAATTCAGGAGGAAGGCAAACCAACGACATGTAAACATAAACAATAGCCGGCAACTGAAGGAACAGAATGGGGAGACTTTATACAAACACAGATGAGGGACTAATAACATAATTAATTGAACACCGGTGAACAGGTGAAACATAATCTGGGTCAATGACCAAAACAAGGCGGGAGAACAGGGAAACACAGAAAACAGAAACAAAGTCTATAAACATGACAGTAATACAGTATATACTTTGGGCTTACTTTGGCTCAGTCGAGAGGTAGCGGGATCGATGCCCGCATTCTCCAAAGCTTTTAGTAGGCAAAAACCCGGAAGTGACTTAGCATCTGCAATTCATCGACTGGCCGCTAGAGGCTGGCTCCAAAAGGGAGTCAGTCCCATAGACTCCCCATGTTAAAATGCCCAAATTTACAGCAGAAAAAAAGATGTTTACAGCCTGGTACAAAGAAGTGGTTTTGGTCTATATAGCTAATTTTGCCCTTCATGACAACTGTGAGGGGGGGTGAATTTTTTATAACTCATCCGTTTAAATTATAGTAAGCCTTAAAGTTCTGTATAATTAAGGGCGTGGCCACTTGAGTGACAGGTGGATTGCCGCTGCTGTCACCACCGTCGAGCTAGGTGGGCGTGGTTTCAGCAACCAGCTCCTGCCTCTTTGCCCATTTTCGCTTATCCGGGAGTGACGCATGGTGACGCGCTGCCAAGATGGCGACGGCCAGCTCTGCCTACTTTAGGCTTCAAAAACGCTCTTCGGAAACCTACGGGTGACGTCACGGACACTACGTCCATGTTTTTATACAGTCTATGGTCCCAATGTGTATACTATCCATCTTAAATTCTGTGATATTAGTAATTGTCAATACTATTTAGGGCAGATAAGTTGGATAGTATGCACATTGGGACGCAGGGATGTTTTTTTTTTAAATGGGATTTTGGTTATATCCCTTAAATAATGTCCGTGGTAAACACAAGCTCAAGACACTTTCACGTTTTATTCTACGACATAAAACACACCAGTTACACCACACTCGTGAGTTTTGTTACGTTTCTTGAAAAAGACGGTTGCTAACAAGTTGCTAAATGGGACTACAGGCTCTCGGAGACATTAAATGTCATCACGCCGATCGGTTTATGAGTTTATAGTATTTTCCAATTGTAGTATAATCAGTGGTGGATAAAGTACCTAAAAGCCACACTTGTGTAAAAGTAGATATCTTACCAGAAAATGACTTTGGTAGAAGTTGAAGTCACCGTTTAGAATATTACTTGAGTAAAAGTTTGTAAAAGTATGTGATATTTATTGTCCTTAATCATGAAAAGTTTTTTTTAATATTAAACGTACTTAAGTATTGAAAGTAAAAATACAGGTAAATGCAAAATGGAAAAGGAACAAATAAATATATTTAAAAAGTTTATACACAGTTTGAGTAGCAAGATTGTGTTCAGTTTTAACTCTTTCTTCCATTTTGTATCTTTTGGTATGCATTAAGAGCCACTTGGTAGTCTCTTTCATTCCAACATAAGAAAACATTTCTAGAATCTGCATCTGAAGTTATATTTAGATGTATTTACACAGGTTAATGTATCTCAGAGGAGACATGGATGCATGTAACCTGCAGTTACAAATGCATAAATAATGCTTTGTTTTAATCACAGAACGCTGAATACTGATATTTGAAAAATTGTCGAAAAAATTGTCGAAATATGAAATTAAAACTGCCAGTAGGTGGCAGCAAGTGACTGTTAATGAGAGAGTCGTTGAGATTCAACCGATTTATTGAAACAGCTGATTCATTCAGGAATAAAGCATTTGACTAAGCATTTGTCAATGAGTGAGTCACTGATCAGTGATTCGAATCATTCATTCAACTGATTCGTTCAAAAAGCAGTGAACACCATACATTGCTCAGAGACGCAAAACGGTGCTGTGATCTTTGTTTGGAAGTATTTTCGTTGGCAAAATTGAGCAAA